GGGGAGATGTCCCTGGTCGGGGGGGCTGGCCACCGTTGGCTTCAAGCATCCACATGCGACACGGATGCCCGGGCAACTGGAGCGTAACAACTTAGCAAGTGTTGAGACTGGTAGACCCAGCCCAGCCTGCAGGGAGAGCCTCCTTATCCGACCGCCGCTGTCGTCCCTCGTCTCTGCTGAGCCCAAGGAAACACACCCCACCAACACGCTGCCAGGACCTGAGAGAAGGGGATAAATGCTGCTTCAATGCCACAGTTTCACCCCCACCTGTGACTGCAGGTCCCGCTTGTACGCCTCACTGATGCGGTGCTGGGCGTCCGCCTGGCAGGGGCAGGTTTATGGGTGAATGCGCGTGCATATTCAACGGCGTGCCAGGCAGGGATGCATCATGGCATGGGGATGGAGGGTGCTTTGCGTTATCATCGTTGCACAATGCGATGGCCTGGGTGTCCAGGCAGCATAATGCCCCTGGCAGCTGTGGTTTTATTGAGCTGTTGTCTCGGGCAGGCGCGAGCCCTGCGGCCCGAAGCCACCCTCTGGTGAGCATAATGCAAATGCGTTTGAAAGGTTGGCGGGAACGCGGCACACACAAGCGCCAGCAGATCAAGAGGCGCCAGGACATCGCTTGTTTTGCAGAGCGTCACCTGGGCAGCCAGTTCGGCCTCCTTCTGCCTGTTGATGGTCAACACCCGGTCAAACTCGGCCCTCTCCAGCTAGTACATGGGGAATTACGTAAGTTGAGGCATGGAGGTGCATCAGCTTCACTCTGAAGGTGCCAACGTTCACAACTAACCACCAGCTCTGCAACACACGGTTCTGCCTCTCAAAAACTACCAGGCGCATCCACATAGACCGCGCTCGTGCTGACGCGCTCGGCTGCGCTCGCCGGCAACAGCAAAGCGGTGGACCCAGCACGGTTGCCAGCTTCCCACGCACCTCGGCCACATCAGCCTGCAGCTGCAGCTTGGACCTCATTTGGCTCTCACGCGCCTCTGCCAGGTCACGCACCATGGCCGCCTGGAGATGAGTGGGGTCAACATCGGTCAACATGGGTCAACATGGGTCAACATGTGCCCAAATCAGATCAATACACATCCATATGGTTTGCACGAGCGAGTCATACGGAAAAAAGAGGGTGAAGCAGGCAGGGCTTGGAAAGAAGCGGAATCGATGTGGCTTGAGGGCTATGCAGACGTAGGCAGGGCCGCAATCCAACCGGCTTTGGTCCCACAGACGAGCTCGCACTCCATGCAGCCGTGGCCGCAGCTGCGCCCTCGCTCGGCGGCTGCGCTGCAGGAACAAAAACCCGTGCATCAAGCAGGACACATCGCTCAGTAAAATAGGGTTGAGGGGTTGTCTCTGGCGGATGGCAGCCCCGCTCACCTGGCGCTGCGCGGCGGCGCGCTCCTTTTTGCGCCACTCCCTGTCCTTGGCTTCCTGCGCAGCGGATGAATAAATGGGATCAGACCCAATCAGGTACTGTGCGTGTTACACCTGCCTCATCTTGGTATCATCCCGACACAAACATACATCACCCTGCTGCCGGCCCCTGTCTCTGTTGCACAACCACATCGCGCCGCCCTCAATCCCACTCCAGGCTCAAAGTCAAACCCGAGCCCAGCTTAGCGGCAGGCTGCCCCAGACCTCACCTGCCAGCGCCGCGCCCTCATCTCATCCACCTCGCTCTGGCGGTCCGCCACCCGCTCCTGCAGGCCCCGCAGCCGTGCCACCTCCATCTCCTTCTCCTGGGCTGCGCGCTCCTTCTCCGCGGCGATGGCCTGGCGCGGAACGGGGGAGTGCGTGCGCGGCAAATGTTGGAACACCCCGTGCCTGGGATGGACACAGGTCGTGTCGCGTCCTGTGGGCACCGTGCAGCCCCTCGTGTGGGCACCGTGCAGCCCCATGACCGCCCCTGCCAAACAACCAACAGGCAATCCAGAGTCCGTCGCGCTGGCCCAGACCCTGGTGTGCTGCTGCTGGCGCACAACACGTGCAGCACTTCGCGGCGCTCGCACGTCGCGTTCCCGCAAAGCGCAACGCGCATGCCATGGTGATAACGAGGCGGCCCTGCGGCACAGTGCAGAGCGCACCCCCACCTGATCGCGCGCGTCCCTCTGCCGTATGTACTCTGCCACTGCCATCTCCTCCTCCAGTTCCTGGTGCGCGGCCGCCCTCTTGCGCGCGATCTGGTCCTCATTGGCCTCCGCCACCTCCCTCATGAGCGCCTGAGTGTTGATTACGGCAATTTCAGTGGATGCGTAGGGCATACTTGATACATCAAGACCACAGAGGGAGCTTCGCGTCCCCGGGGCAAGGTATGGTGTATTTGGGTGTTATTCAGGAGGAAATCCAGGGTTCAGGGCTCCAGGCTGCAAGCAGCAGGGAGACGTGCGCAGCCCTGAACGCGGGAAAGAGGCTGCTGGAAGGGCAGCAGGCCAGCTCACCGCTGCACGGGCGCGCTTGTCGGCCGCGGCCCTGTCCTCCTCCTGCTTGAGGCGCTCGAGCTCCCGCAGCATCTGGGCCCGCTCCTGCAAAGGCACGCGGCCAAGCAGACAGGTTTCCAAGGGCATTACACCAGCGCTCTCTCCATGTGCCTCTGATCCACAGCCGCACGCAGCCCACAAGCATGCAGCCGTACGTTGCTTCACCACGACCATGCTGCAAGCCACCCATGCATGCATGCCAGGAATGCCGCTCCCTCACCCGGTCCCGCCAGGGCCAGTAAACCACGCCCCACCTGGTCCCGGAGCTCCTCCGCGGCACGCCGCTGCCGCTCCCGCTCAGCCAGCTGCTCTTTCAGAATCGCCGCGCCGCGCTGTTGCTCCGCGAGCCGCTGCTTGTCGCGGTTCTGCTCGGGCACCAGGACAGCAGCGGCCACCAAGGAGCGCCAAGGTGGGCGTGTCAACCCTTGATTGAGCCGCAATGACTCGATTTATGTTATTTTGCAAAACAGGTCTTGTAACCTAGGGCTTGCAATCGCACGCCACCACACACTCACAAATGCCTCCCAGACAGGGGTCCGAAGATGTGCCACCATACGTTCCCCTCTGCTAGCCCCTGAGCCGCCAGCGCCCTCGCCCCTGGCCCCGCCCCCGGTGCCCTCAGGCCCTGCATAACAAGGCAATGACCGTGCAAAGCAGCTGCCCACCAACCTGATACGCCTCCAGCGCCCTCAGCCTCTCCACCTCCATCTGCGCGTCCATGCGCCGCTGCTCCTCCTGCTCCGCCAGCTCAGCCTGGCGCTTCTCCTGCGGGCCGAGGACAAGCAGCTGGTTTGGCGTCGGTCATCATTGGAGTCTGGGCTCAGGCGCCATAAGTGGATGGGTTGGGGCGGCTAGGTGGAAACTGACGAGGCAAACAGGCAAAGGAGGCGGGAGGGGGGGGGGGCAGGCAGGCGAGCAGAGCCGTCAGCATCCCGTCGACCAGGTTTGACCGACGCACCACAATCTGCCTGTCTCTGATCGTGACGCACTGGGCGTAGCGCACCATCCGGTTCATCAGCTTGACCTGCGGCCGATGCGCACAATCCGCAGGGGATGTTGTAACGCCATCAAAATCAATCCTGAGCGCAAGCGCTTGCAGCCGTGGTCAAAGTCCCCACAGCATGGAGTTGTAGCTACCGTGTTCTGTGCAGACATGATTGGATCACAGACAGGCAAAAGAGCAAGTGTATGCGTGACACTGCATAAGTCATCTGTGCAGTGCTGCCTCACCTCATCCGCCTCCTCCTCTATCAGCGCCTCTGCCCTTGCCAGAGTCTGGCTGTCGGCCTCGCCGCGCACAGCCTCGCTCTCTGGCGGGGGTGCCTGCGGCAGGGGCCAGCCGTCAGACCTTGGACACGCACGAGCCATGCCGCAAAGCCCGCAGCTCTTTCGGTTGGCCCAGGGCCTCTGCCCAGGTGCTTGGCCCGCTTCAGCTCAGGCGATCTCCTGGATCGCTGTGCGGCTCCTTGGTATATACTGCGCAAAACCATCACTCGAAGACACACATGACCAGCAGCGCAAAACCTCAACACTCCGACCAGCGGCGCTAAGCCCTCAACTTCAATGCCACCAGCAAGACCCCATGATCACCCAAGCCAGCAGCACACCTTGGCGCGCGCCTCCTCCTCCAGTGCAATCATCCGCTCCTTGCGCGCCTTGGCGGCCGCCATACCCTCCTCGCGCCGCTGCTGCGCCTCGCGCCGCAAGGCCGCCAGCTGGCACGGGTCGGGGAAGGGGGGAAGCGGGCGCAGCGTGGTGGCAGACGTCGAAATCGTAGCCCTCGCGGCGGTGCAAGGCGATTGCATGCACCAATTTGCACAACTAGCTGTGAAGAGGTGGCGTCCGTGCGAGCCGCCTCGTTCGGCTGTTTCCAGCAATACTCTCACTCGCCTGGTTTGGGGCGTGAGCCGGCGGCCGCTCATGCCCCAGGGCTCCAACCTCCCACACTGTCCCCGGCCCCGACGCACCTCTTCAGGCGTCAGAATCGGCGCCTCGGCCCGCATCCTCTGCACATCCTCGGGGCGCAGAGCCACGACGTACGGCGCTGCGGGCGCCTTGCCGGCGCCGCGCGGCTGGCGCTTCTGGTTGGGCTGCTGCTGCTTCTGATCAGGCGCACCGACCTTGGAGGCCTGGGGGTAGCCGAGAGGATGCAGCTGAGTGGAAGTGATGCTGTGTGCATGGGCCCAGGTCTTCATATGGTTGCCGGCACATCATTAGATGGGCAGCGCCGTAAAGGCGAGTCACACGCAGGTGCAAGGCCAGGCGAGCGCCGCATGTGCTGCGCAGCAGGTGGGCTTGAACGCGCACCCTGCGCGCCCCAGCGCCTTCGCCGCCCCCGCTGAACAGTGACTCGTCCACTGAGCTACCATGAGCTACCACGCGATATCTGCGATTGCAAAGGTCCAGGTGAGCCACCCGCAGGGCTCGTTATCTTCGCTGAATCCTTGTTCCGGGCTGCGTACCCGGCAGGCTTGCCCATTCGCCCGCTTCCCAAGCTTGTGGTAGACGCCTCTCTTCCCATCTTGTGACTATATCCCAGTGCGCCACCGGGCAACAGGCCTTTCGCGATCACAAGCAAAGAAACGCGTCCAGTGAACTAGACCAAGCAGCGATGCGTTGATGACAAAAACATTACAATGTGATATAGTCGCCAAAATATGGAACTGGTCGCAAGTGTACGTTGATAAATCGAGCTGCTGCTCGGCAGGTGGCGTGGCCAACCGATGCCTTTGTCGCGTGCGATTCAGCAGAATATACTTTGAATTTGCTTGCAACATTTTCGACCAACCACGCGCAAGGCTATTACCCTACTCGTGCTGGGCGTGATGTTTGACCGAGCATTGACTGCGCTATGTGTGCCCCCTGAGAGGCAATACACCTGTAAGACCGGCCATTTTGCGTGCGGTGAAAGAATTTCATCATATTGAATTGCATCAACAAGACTGCGGGGTGCATATGCTGCTTTTGTAGCGCAGCAGGGCTTGCTGCGCTCAAGCGCCGCCACGGGCCTGCATCGCCTGGTCCCTCTCGTCCACGTCCACTGGGATGCCGTCCAGCTTCTTCAGGTTGGGTAGCCGCTTGAGGACCTGGTGAGCCATGGTTGAATGATTGTGCAGGGATATGGGTCAGCAGCGGGCGCCGATGGTGGTGCATACGTGGCTATATGTTTGTCAGAAGAGCAGGCCCTGCAGGGGAACCACACGGCGAGCATGCACAACATTCTCCTGAGCACCGCAGTGGCTGCCGGTCCACGATGGGCATCACATGCTCATGGGAAAATGCGGGAAGCTCGGCCCTGATGCCTCGACGCACCTCAACCCTGTACTCTGCGCCAGTGTTGTTGTCGCGGTGCTCGTTGTACAGCGGGTTGCCCACCTGACAACCCATTTGAAGGCAACCAGCCCGAAATAAGTCAACTCACACATGTGTGCAGTTTTCTGTGATATACCCATTTTAGACACTTCAAGCTGCGTCAGACATGTGATGCGTCTGCCCGCAGATGCTATGGGTGCATGCACAGCCAGGCGCTGCAGCGCTTCGGCCCAAGCGCGACCCCATGCATCCTCACCAGCAGCAGGTCCTCCAGCTTCTCGAGCCCCGCCAGCCGCTCCAGCTCGACCCAGTCGCGGATCTGAGGGCGTCAGAGGGGTTGCAAGGGCGAATGCGCGGCGGGGTAAGGTGCATCGCAGCTCCAGGTCGCAGGCGCGCTGCTTGCAACTCCCAAGTCGCCGCGGGCGGCACGGAGCATGAGTCCAGACGAGGGCAACGGTGTGTGGCATGGCATGGAATTGAAGCATGAGGCCATGATGAAAGCACAGGTGCACCTTGTTGTTGCTGAGGTAGAGCACCCGCAGGTTGGCCAGCTTCTCCACGCCGCTCTGAGACGGCAGGAAGGCGTGGCAGGCAGCAACGTGGCAGGATTTTTTGGCATCAAAAGTGCTGTCAACAACCCTGGCTGGGCGCAGCGAGGGCAGCAACGCGCGACATGCTGGGAATCGGCAGGCCAAAAATGCCTGCTCACCAGCTTCTCTATGGCATTGTAGCTGAGCCACAGCTCCTCCAAGGTCTCCGCCACAGCCTCCACATTCTCCACCTGCAGATTTGTAAAACAATTCGGCATGTCCACAGCACGAGCAGCGGGTTGCCAGTCTGGTGAGCTTTTCGTGACTGACGCCCCTCAACCCCACGACCGCAGTAATGCCCTGCTGCACGCCCTGAGCGGCGCAGCTGCCACCATGCTGGCCAACAGTTAAGCAGCCCACCTTTTTGATCAGATTGCGCCCTAGGCTCAGGATTTTGAGATTATCCATCCCTGCAAGGCTGCTAATCTTCTCGATGTTATTGGTTGACAGGGCCAGGTGCCTAGTAGGAAAGGAGGGGGTGCGCACCATGATAGTTGACGATCCTTGCGTGACGATTCAATGCATGCATCCCTACAGCTGCCGTGCATGGCACCGTTGGCAATCTTGGCGGGCGAGAACATAGCGTTGTACAGGTTCCGATGCAGCCAAGGGTATGTCCAGTATCCGTGCTTGCGACTGGTTGAGCTGGATTGCGCTCACTTGCAGGCCTTGAGTGTGGAGAGCGTTGGGTCCATCTTCTCTATTGGCGGGACCTGGCCGTTCAGCTCGATCTGCCATGAACACGCCCACACATCATTCTCAAGAGCGTGTTGTGGGCGTCCTGTGTTATGTCCCGGTGCGTGTTGCCTGTGCGCGCCCACGTGGGTGTGCGCATTAGCACACCGCCGCCCTTTGTCAAGCGCACCTTCTCCGCCTCTGCCGCATTGATGCCCCGCGCCTCTTCCAACTTCTTGACTGCGTCCTTGATTGTCGTTGCTTTTGCCATTGCGCCGCTCAAACTGGTCTACTTTGATCGACCTGGTCGTAAACACGAGGGACTGTGCCCAAGGCGGCGGACAGTGCCGCTGCAGCACCTCACGTCGGCACTTGCGGGCAGACCAGGATCTGAAGCTGCATGAAGAATCACAATAACTGCTCCTGTATTCCTATGACAGCCGTAACAGCTCAGATATTCGTCGATCAAGTGTTCCGCGATGGTCTGAGATCATCCGAAAGGCGCTTCTCGTTCAGTTGACTTTCAAAAGATGTCAGTATGTCGTGCGGATTATCGGCCATCTGAGCCGTTGCTGTTCGAGCTTCGCTCTGTCTGCTGAGGCGACCGGCCGCGCGCCTGGCGCTGGCCATGTCATCACCAGCCGCGTCGGATGAGATGTCGAGATGCTCCGAGAGTCGTTGGCCAAGATAGACTTTGCGATACGGGCAGGTTTTCAGACCATGAAACCGCAGTCACAGACATGTGTATGTGGCCATTGGCTGGCCTGGCCTTGCTCCTGATGCGTTTCCAAGCTGCTGTGGAGACAACGGCATGGGTGTGACCGGTGCCACTCAACCTTACTGGCCTTCAAATAGCCCAACTGCTTGCTGTATGTCCTGACTGATAGGCTGTGCGAGGCCTTATGCATGCCCTGAGGCGTGCCACACTGGTTTGCTTTGTTACATCCACAAATCAAATGCGCGGCACTCTGCCGACCAGCACGTCCTGTGCCCATGCCGCACATGCCTGGAGGCCCGCGCGCGCTGCCAACTGCTGCTGCCCGGGTGCCTGGCCAGCTGCCCTACGCGTGCCGCCTTCACAAGCTGCGGCAAGCACCTGGGTGTACCCCAGGGGGCGGTATCCCAGCAAGAAGTACCGCTGTGGAAGGGCCGCAAATGACAGCTCCTGCTGCTGCTGCTGCTGCTGCTGGGTGCCTGGGTCCTGTAATTGCGTGTCGCCGCTGGCCCCAATGCTCGACTCGCAATCAGGCTGCAACACCTCCACGCACAGATCACCTGCATACATCCAGTGTGTGTGGAGTGCCATCAGAGGGTGCCAAAGCCGTGCATGAGCACAGGACATCCCCGACGCTTTCGCACGCGAACCCTGTTGCGCACGCGCACAAGGTTGCAACTCCAAGCGCCAGCCGCTCACCCGGATACGCAGAAGGCCGTAGAAGCCGCCGAACAAGCGCGCACAGAAGGTTGCGCTCCGCCAGCGCCGCCCCCGCCCGCAGCACCGTGCACACTGCGGCTGGCACCAGGTACAGGCAGCTGCCGAGCAGGTACCACGCCGCCGTCGTCGGCAGCAGGGCGAGCAGCGGCGTGAACAGCAGCACGCCGACAATGACGTGCTCTGCAGTCACCTCCTCGTCCCTGCCAGCCTCCGCGTTGTTGCCCCAGAGCGAACCCAACGCCGGCGCCTGTGCTGCAGACGTCGCGGCGCGCCGGCGCCGCAGCAGCCGCAGGCGCGCCGCGCCCGCAGCCGCCGCCGCGGCCTCGCGGCCGCCGGCGCCGCGCATGAGCCGCCACATTGCGCGGAGGCCTCGCAGGTGCAGGCGGTACGCAAAGGCCAGCAAGCGGTACGACAGCTCGAGGGGCAGCAGTACGATCCGTACTGCATCGCTCGCCGCGGCGAGGCCGCCGCAGAGGCCCAAGAGCCCGCAGGCGATGGCGATGGCCCAGATGAGTGCGTCGCCAAGGTGCGGCCAGGCGGCGGCGTAAGCAGCCTCGGAGGCGTCGACGGCTGAGTTTGCTGCAGTCCCCAGGAGGAAGGTCAGCTCCGCATGCAGCTTCACGCCACCTGCAGGCGCAGAATAAAAAGATTGCCGCCGGGGACGCAGAGGGAGGATGATGACTCAGCACTTGGGATAATGGTGACAGATGCATGTGTTGCAACCGGGTGAGCAAGCAAGCAGACAACACCCGCCGTCGCCACAAGGCTGATGATTGTATGGCGCAACATGCGCCCAGCCTTTTGCGTCGCTGGAGGGATGCGTTTGCGCCGCAAGCACAGGGGGTTCACCTGGCTTCGCACTCATCAGCCATTCAATGTTGGGCCGTAGGACACTGCCGGACAGCCACCTCCCGCCAGCCACAGCGGCTGCCTCCAGCTGCTCCTGCGCCCGCAGCAGCGCGGCCGCCGCCGCCGCGCCGGCTGCGCGCTGCAGCAGCTCTGAGGCGACTGCATCCTGCAACCGTTGCAGGGCGACGTTGGCGGACGCCGCGCTGACCTGGGGCGGAGGTGCACCTGGCTCGTCGGTGCCGCTGGTCGCCAGAAGGGGCGCAAGACGGCGCCGGCTGGACTGGATGTAGGCGCCTGTGAGGGTAGAGGCCCGCAGCGTATGCACATGTGCCACCTCGCGGCGCCTAAAGACCAACTCCACCAGTGCCATGGCCTGCGCTTACAGCGCACAGTGCACGAGATGCTTCTACTCGGACCTCAAGACCCCGGGCCGATGACAGAAGGTTCTTGAGCTACGTATTCCCAAAAGCAGTGCGCAAATTTGCTCACCAGTTGCCAGGCCACCCAGAAGTGTCAAGCGCGGTGCGGCAGCCACGGCAGAGCCACGATCTGCCTCCGAAGTTGCCAGCCGCACCGCCAAAAGCGCTGCTAGTGGGAGCCTCTGCGCCGGATTGGCCAGGCGCACCCGCAGCAGAGTTGCGCGGTTGAAGCAGTGACACGCCCACTCAAGGGAAGTGGAGCCTGCAAGAGGAAGTGGCAGGATCAAAGCCATATAGGGGGGCAAGCGTGAGTTGTTCATGACACATGACATTGACGAAGGCACAGCCGCACCAATGGCATCTCAGTTCGCTGTCATGCGAGTGACAGGGACCCCAAGCAAGAAACCCTCTGACCTGAACTCTTTCCCATCCAGCAAGGCGGAGTGGGTGGCGGGGTGGTGGCGCTGCCTGGCCACACACCACCCCCAGCAGATGCCACCTCGGCAGCCAGCACAGGTGCGTGCGAATGTCCCAGCTGGGGCGTGGCATACATGAACACCTGCATATGGAGACGTGGTTGTTTTAGTAACGAAGTAAAGGATGTGCTCGTCTCGATGCAAGGGGGGTGTTGTCTTGAAGACCAAATGTAGAATAAACAGCAGCAGTGCAACCAGTCAGTGTAAGAATGCACTGCTGTATGCTGTTGCAGAGTTGGGGTACTGCGTTCAGTGCAGTTGCAGCGCAATGTTGAGGACCTCGCCTGCAGTTCGGTAGCCTCATATCCCGGCCATGCAACTTGAAACTGAGGTGCCAGCAGCATCCGGCGTCTAAGTGCCGCGCCTTGACGGATGCTTGGGCATCGCATTGGCAGGAATGTGCGCGCGTGGTGCTTGAGGCCGCTCGCTGTTATCCACGGCATGCCACCTTGTACCTCCTGCTGGACCTGCTGCTGCTGCTTACTGATCTGTTGTTGTTGCTGCTGCTGTTGCTGCTGCTGCTGCTGCTGCTGTTGCTGCTCTTGGATTTCCCGTTGCTGCTGCTGGCCGGTCCTTCCACGCTTCCACAGTGCACTAGCACTCCACCATCTATGGCCCCCGCTGCTTGGCTGGGGTGCAATCCGCCACTCTCCCAGCACCCCCAGCCGCTCGTCATCACCCTGATTTGGTGCATCAGCAAGGGCCTCCAACTGCTGCTGCTGGTAATCGAAATCGGCTGCATTGGGATCGAGCGTGCCAATGACGACGAGCGCTGCAGCGGCACCATCCCTGCCTGCAGGGCGTGTAAAGCCATACAGGAGGCGGTAGCTGCCGCCAAGATCGTTCAAGCGATGTTGATGAATATCTAGGGGCCAGAATATGCGCACTGGGGCCGGCATACAATGGCAGTGCTCGCAATCAGATCACGCGTTTAAAATCACATCACGCGTTTCGACCTGTTTGGTACGGCAAATAATCGCGACGATCGACTTGATGCAAGCTACACCACGCCTGCATGCACACTGTCAACACCGGTGGCATTCATCCCGCGTTACGTCGCGTCGCGTCACACCCAGGTCACACCAGCGGTCGCCCCGCCAAGTGAAGCAGTTGATCGAGCAAGACAGGACGTCGTGATGCATCTCAGCGACATCTGGTAAATGTACCAACCAGCTGGCACTGTCAGTTGCCATTGATCAATTGAGCCTAGCAGCGTGCACGCATGCGTCCGCCAAGCGGACAAGCTCAGACTGCTATTGGGCTCCCGCAACTTGATCCTCGGGGATAGACGGGTACCGATATCATAGTGCGACCACCCTGGGGTGGCATGCCATTGATGGCCACAACGACTCACCTACAGTGCAGCATTTTCCAAGCAAAGTGTTTGAGCTGCTCGATAGCTGCAGTATGATACGCATTGCACTGCAGTACGCACCAACGTCACACTGACCACTCGCCTGGTGCGCACGTACCTGACCGTTCCCTGATCTGACTGTCGACGAGAGTTGAAGCCACAATCCCGTGATCTACCGCCAGAAGTGATCTCGTATTCAGGCCACCTTTGAGACAGACACCAATTCTGTATAGAGCGGGTTTCCTTGTCACGAATTTTCAGATAAAACTGCATCCGAGCTCTGCACGATGTCGTCAGACGTGTTGAAACAATATGTCGCAGGGCGAGAGCTTTTGACGCTCCTGCAGTCGAGTGTGCGGCCACAAAGTCTAGCGGATCGCGTCGCGGCACTGGCAGCAGCTGTGGCGGATGAGGCGCGTGGTGCTGGGAACAGCGGCGCGACAGCAGCTGCTTCGGCAGGTGTGCACGATTGTGAGGCGCCCTGAAATATGCAGCCCGCACTTGATATGTGCGGAAGTTGAACCACACCTGACAGGGGCTTTGCCTGCCATGCCCACTTGGCGCCGTGCTTGGCACTTGCGGAAATGTGTGTGCCCTTGCAGGCGCAAACGGAGCTGTGGCACCCGCCGCGCCTGGCGCGGACGCGTTTGCGGCAGCAGTGGCGG